ATCAGTCTCCATATCACAGTATACCTGTGATCCAATAGTGTATAGTATATGTTATTAGTAACTAACTGTAAAAGGAGTCCCTCCATCAGGATTAATATTATATAGGCCACTAGTAGTGCTACCATTGTTATACCAATCCTTACAGTCTGTAAGAACTAAATTTAGTATTGAAATAGTTATTATAGTGTCTTTTATTTACCTATTGGTGGTGGACAGGCCTGTGGCCTTACATCAGGACATACCATGATAGTCTTCACTCTTCCTTCTCTCATACGAATAGTCTGTCCTAAGTTACTGCTGTTACAGCATGTCCTTATATACAGTGATGGTTCATGTTTATATCCAGTACTAGCCATACAATAAGATCCTTCTCCTTCATCAATGGTAACTATTAAACACAGCAACAACAACATAAAGATGAACATCTTTGACATTTTACTAGACTGTGCTGTAGTTTAACAAGTACTAGAATTTTAACCATGTATTGAATAAGCTTCTGTAGTTTATTTGTATAAATTCAACTCATAGTTTTACAACTATAGCTAATTTTATAGTAAATTCCATTTTATAGACATGCACTTATACCCTGTTCACACTACCCTTCAGAACTGTACTGGAACTGGGTTTTGGGGAAGTATAGTGTAGTTTTATAGCAAGTGTGAACATAACTGAACTGCACTGTAACCAAACCAAACCAGGCTAAAGTGGTGCACCAAAATAGGTGCTCTGAAATGGTGTAGTTAAGTTTTAAAGTGAAGTTGGTGTAGCTAAGTTGTGCAGTGTGAACTGCTACCAGCATGGTTCTTTTATAACCAAACTAATCTAACTAGGTACAGTTCTGTACAGCTGGGGAGGTAGTGTGAACACAGTATTAGCTTACACTTAGCTTTGAGAGAAGTTGTGGTGTTGTGTAGCTTCATGATGCTTCAATAGCAGCTTTAATTTATTATAGTTAATAAAAGTCAAATAGTCAATAGTTATTACTAATCACTACAAAGTATGACAGACTGTAATATTGAAATGACATAATAATATATCAGCACAATGTAAACACACTTATGTGTGTGGGGTACAGTATTTAACTGTTACGACGAGTTTTCATCTCTGTGAACGAGAGAGTAGTGTATGCATTTTCCAAACTGTACCAAGTAATTCCTTCAATATCACGAGAGTCAGTGTTGATATAACGACCATTAAGATTCGAACGATAGCAATCATTATACCACCAGGCACCAGTGTACTGCTGAGCACAGTTACCTGTATAGTTATCATTATCATTATCTCTTGTACTGAATTTCCATCCATTATGATGACCAGCCAGACTATCCCCAGCAGTACCAGAGTATCCTCCTACTGTTAGTATATATTCAATTCTACCATCACTAACACTGAATGTAGAGTAGTTAGCATAACTTGTGTTCCCCTCAAAGTCTCCCAGGTCCACTCTTAGTGTGTTTGATCCTTCTTTAGTAAGACGATGAATCTTGCTCAATCCTAACCAAAACTCACCAGTAAGGTTACCAAATCCATTCTCATAGTCAGTCCAGTTCCTATAGAAAT